AAAAAAAAAAATAATTAATACCAGTAAAAAAAAAAAAAAAAAAAATAAAAAAAAAAAAAAAAAAAAATATATATATATATATTTATTTATTTATTTTTTTTTATTTATTTATTTTTTTTTTCCTCCATTTAAACATTTTTGATCAAATTGTAGTGTCCTTGCTGAATAAAAGTATTAATTGCTTTCAAAAGCAAACAAAAAAAATCTTAGATGAGAGCCAATATACTGTTCAAAAGTTTGGGATCACTATTTCTCGTGCCATTTCTGTATCACGTGTCCCTAGTTTTCATTTTCATATTCACTACTAAATGCACTATTTAATACATGCGATTTGTTGTATTTGCATGACTGTTTAAATTAGGGCTGTGTATTGACACGTGGCAGATTCTGATTCATAAGCTCTTGATTCGATTCCCATCTGAATTCATTAGTGAGTCCTTTGAATATATATCCAGTCCAATGCATATCAAGAAATATCTCAGCTACAGCAATAAAAGCTATACACGGAATCCTGTCAGTGGATACTTTACAATAATGAAGGTTAAAATTACCACCAGTCTTAATTTTTTTTAATTCGACTGCTATTTATTTTAAGATACAATAAGCAACACTCAAATAAAAACTGATATGTTAACTATATTTTTATATCAGCTTCTTAATGATATTTTAATAATACTATAATTGATTGTTGAAATATAAACATTTAAATGGTGACTATTAAAAACTTGTTTTCATGACAGAATTAGTCAGACATGCATTAACAGGTTAAGTTAAATATAATAAATATGTAATACAGTGCATGTATTTAGCTAAATGTGTCTCTCCAGAGTTATTTTTAGCTAACGTATGAGCTATGGACATTGGCTTTCCTGAGGTAAATGTAACGATATGTGACAGTTTACAAATATTTCACATTATCTATTGACTAAAGATACCGTTATCTCAAAATAGTCAAATTTCAGACAATGGTAACTCGAGATTAATAAAAAAAAAAAAAAAACATTCGTATTTATTCAAACTCTGTTTGAAAAGCATAGTGTCCAACATACAAGTTACCACATACAAGTTAGTAAATATTACTACTACTACTAAAAAATGTTTGTTTGCATAATCTTTTGCTGCATCTGTCTGTATCCGGGTTTCAAATTTCCCTGCATTCCTACTAAAGTTTTCCCCCTTCATCCTAACAGCAAACCAAGAGGAAGCTGGATGATGCTCATAAGAGGCTCGAGTATCTCTATGACAAGCTGAGAGAGCAAACCGTGAGTAATGAACCCTCACTTTCATGTAATCCAGTGGTAATACCACAGTAAACACAGTCTCGAAATACTGCTGGTGAATAAATACTGTATTTAGCAATGGTTTGGGTGAGACACAAACACACTCAGACGCGGTGTCTTCTCTCCAGCTGTCTCCAGCTATCGTCGGTGGTCTGCACAGTATGGCCCGCAGCATCGAGTGCCGCTGCTACACCGACGGACTCAACATCCACACACACATCGTGAGCAGCAGCAACTTCAGCGAGACGTCTGCCTTCATGCCTGTCCTGAAGGTGGTGCTGACGCAGGCCAACAAACTGGCTGTTTGATATCCACCGTCTGTAACACACACACACACACACACACCAACAAGTATTCTCAACCCCTCAAGCCAGCTTTCCAGGACCATGTGCATATACTTTGCCAGTCTTAACCCATCTGGTTTACAGCGATGTTTATGTTTTTGTCACATTGGTATTACATATTTGTAATCATGGCAGAGCAGAGTGCAATAGGGCTTTCCCCTTTTATGTCTCCAGTTTTAATGGTAAATTAGCTTCATGAAATGCTTGTTTTATGCTTTAGTGAAGAATAGCGGCAAGCTAATCGTGTCCAGTGCACCGGGCATCATTCTTGATTTATGCTATTCATTTGGCATTATTATTTAGATTAAGATATCTGATGTTTACGATTATCGCAGCTCCTCTGCATTTCAATTTATTTTCTGGGAATCTTCTTTGATTTACGTTACGGCATCATTTCTGCAGATGAAGTTTGGATATGGAAATAAGGTAGCATGATAAAATGGTTACAATGGATTTTTATTTGAACCGTTTCTTTGATTTAGGATTTGGCATTCATGCAATTGGAAATTTACGATTAAATCTTGACTTTTGTTTGTTTCATAATTATGCAGACTGTCTTTATTGTACATGTTTTAGACATCTTTTCAGATAATGGTAATGGGATTCTGCTTCTGAAACAAAGGGGGAAACAGAAACCGGATCCGATGTGTAAAAAAGAAGGTCAGGCTACAATAAAGGGAATGTTAGTTTTATAATATTTTTTTTTTTTAATCGCAGTCTCCGCCAGCTATCATTCTGTTAGTAAGTCTATTTTGAGCAATTTTGCTTATGGCTGCACAAAAGTTTGGAGGCTTGCTCTAAAACTTTTTTTTATGCAATATGTGTACTGTCTCAATTATTAAGATTGTACTGTAAATCTGATGATGACTCTTTTATTAAAAACTAATTGAGACGGCTTGCTGGCTTCTTTTTACAGATGTTTTATTTTAAATGTTAAATTCATATACTACCTATTGCATTACAAATCTACTAGAATATTCATATTATTATTATTATACCTAATAATTTAATTGCAAGTATCTTATTCTTTTGTAAACATCTAATACTTAACAGGAGTTGATTACTGTGCTTTAAACATGAATGATATATATATATAGTGTATGCGAACAACATCTCTCAGCAATTCCATTGAAATCAAATATTAAAAAGACAATTCATCCAAATATGATCTTTTGTTCCAAAAAATGATCGAAACCATGATTGAAAAACACAGAAGAAAGTCATACAGGTTTAGAATAAATCTTAACGGGGGGAGGAAAGATGGAATATCAGTAAAAGTCTCTTATTTACTGCATTACATCAATAACAAACATTTCATTCATATCCAAACAGGTTTACTAAGCTTTTTAAAGGGAACGTAGACGTCTGTTTTTTTTTTATACAGCTAATTATAAATAAAACAATTAAAACATGAATGCATGGATTTACTTTACATTAATACCCTGATAAAACGAGGGCCTGGATGTCCTTCGAAGCAGTTTTTGTCAGATTTAGCTCACTTCTAGGTACAATTTTGTCCCGAAAATATGGTTAGGTAGGTCTATACATACACCTATTTCATATGTAAAGTTTTTTTTCTTTTGCTCTCTCTCTCCTCCTCTCAAGCTCTGCATATCTCATATCTTTAATACATCTTGTGCATGACTTTCACTGTTTAAATGTTAAGTAGCCTAGGCTATTATAAACATTGCATGCTCGTATTAAAGGCTCTCTTTGCTAATCACTTGCAGTTAGTATATGTTTCTATCAGTCTCACACCATGGCTAATACAGTTTGACTGCTGTTTTACTGTATTGAACTGTACATGTCTGTCAGTCTGGACAGATTCAGATAATTGTGCTGTTTGACAGTGAAAACAGTAATGCCGTACTTGAAAACAACTATGACAATGCTGTTATAAATGTACAGATGACAATATGAATGTTTTATGTGATCTTTTCAACGAATGAACAAGCTAGATATGATCATTAGATCACAGAAACACAATTATAACACTGCAAAAGAGCTTAAATGGAGCTTGAATTACTCTTAGATACACTTCTTAAAGAATAAATGGTCATATCTGGTGTTTTAATGAGAATAAGTGCGCGTTAATTCATTTTTGAGTCACAGCAACTTACATTTACAGCCCCCAATATTAGACCATTTTTACCTGTAAACAACTTAAATCGGCACGGAATAATAATAAAACATTCAGTCATCAAACAGCCAGCATGTTGTGATCATTTCCTAAATAAATCTGATTCTGCTGCTAGAAATACAGTAAAAGACGAAAGCGCGAGGAGTTTTGCGACGCAGAAGCCCCGCCCACAGCACTAAACGGACCAATCACGAGGCAGCTGATCAAGCGCTCTAGTGGAACGTTCAGTAGATTGTGACGTCACAGTAGGATGCTCGTATTAAAGGCGCGCTTTGCTAAATCACTTGCAGTTAGTTGCTCATTTTGCATTTTGGTGTTTCTACCTTTGCTCATATTGCAGTCTACAGTAGTTACTCGTTCAAAATGGTGCTGTTTACTTTACTCGGAGTAATTGCTTTAATTCAGAGGGAAAGGACAAAAGTCAGCAGCGCCCACTCACAGAGTGATGAACCTGTGAGGAGTCCTGATGGTAAATCAGCTCTCATGTTATGAGAATATAGTGTTTCCTAGTGTTTACTGCAGTCTGCACTCATTTTTATGTTTAAGGGGTTTTTTTATGTTCAGTTTCATAAAGTCTGTAACTTAATACAAATTACAGACTTAAAGTTAACGAATCATGCAGCTGAGAATGCATCATTAATCTATTCACACAATATTTAAATCTCGAAGTTTACCAAGCAACATCTGGATGACCTTGCTAATATTCACACAACTCAGTGGAACTTAATGTAGGGGGATCAAGGCATGCTTTTAACTTTTTAATTTGACACTCATTTGACACTATTAATATTGTTATGTTTATGTCATTAGCCTCTTTAGCTCAGGCTTCTCAACATATCACCACTGACCCTGCAGTCCTCCTCCCTACTGCAGAGGAAGCATTCACCCGTCACCCTGAAGTCGATTTAGTCAGCATTCCCCAAGCTTCAAACGGTCCAACATCCCAGCTGAAGGATAAAGAGACAATGGGTCAGTTTGTTAGCATAATCCTAGCATAACCCGACAAAAACACGTTTCATACAAGATCAGTTTTTACTGACACAAAGCAATTAGCAGTTTGATGGGTTATACATTAAAACTACTTTAATATGCACTTTCTTTAAAGGGGTCATATGATGGGATTTCAAGTTTTCCTTTCTCTTTGGAGTGTTACAAGCTCTTGGTGCATAAAGAAGATCTGTAAAGTTGCGAAGACTAAAGTCTCAAATCCAAAGAGATATTCTTTATAAAAGTTAAGAGTCAACCACGCCTTCCTAAAACGGCTCGTTCTAACACGCCCCCACATGTCTACATCACTATGTGGAAATATTAGCATAATGCGCCCAAATTTCAGGAACAGCAGTCGTGTTGAAGCAGCATGTCAGGGAGACGCTGTGTTTCAGTGCGAAAGCAAAAGCACTTTCTTTGGCCTTCCGGAAGTAGATGCAGTTAGGAATTATTGGTTAAGATTTATTTACAACAGAACAGTACGACCCAGATGTTCGAATTTGTGCAACGCATTTTATGGACGTCAGTTTTTTGAACCTAGAAGAGTACAAGGCTGGCTGTGCACAAAGGCTATTTAAAAAATAAAAAAAAGGGTAAATTCCGACTTTGCTATGACAATCTGGTGCTTCTGAATCAGCAACTGTAAGTATGTTTTATTATTAGTTTAAGTATTTGCTATTGACTGTTCAAATGTGGAGTTTTGCGCAGCGCAGAGTAACGCGTCGTGTGTGTGTGTGTGTGTGAGTGTGTGTGTGTGTGTGTGTGAGAGAG